TTTCTCGCAATGTCACCTAGTTTTGAGAAATGGTAAAACCATAGAAAGATTTGGGAAATAGTTCCTTCTCTTTAGTTTTCTAGAAAAGTTTGTATAGAATTTGTATTATTTCATTAAACATTTAGAGTTTACTGGAGAAACTGCCTGAGCCTGGGATTTTCTTTGTCAGAAGATTTTTTTTCCCTAAAATTTAATAGATTTGGGGATATTCCGGTAATATGTTTCATCTTTAATGGCTTTGTTTTCAAAGATTTGCCTATCTCATCTATATTATTGAATTTATTAACTTAAAATTGTTCATGTTATTTCTATTACTGAGTGCTGGATTTTGGAGTTTGGGCTTTATTCTCCCCTGTAGGTAAGTTACAATTTGATTCTTTCAAGACTTGTATCTAAACTTTAACAGAGTGGGTTCAGAGCAGTCTTCAAACTTGAACAACTTTACCTGTGCTACAGTGTTGAGCTTCAGAGTAAGCTGTCCGGTGCTGAAAGTATTAAAGATTTCTCCTCTCTGGCAAATGGCAGTGAGAACCATTTCCAGACCTGTATGAACTCAGGAGTTGTTTGGTCTGTTGCTTTCTGAAGATTATTTCCACTTAAGCAAAGGTCATTACTTGTCCAGCAGTTTGAGGGGCCCTCTCTGCAGATTTTTGGACCTCACTCTATATGCCACAACTCCCTCTTTGGTATTAAGTGCCACCCCACAAGTCCTAGCTGCCTTTGCCTCCAAACTTTGATCTAAGTTTTTTCAACTTCATGAGGCTGAGCTGATGGGCAAGACCTGGAAGTTCCTGTGTATACAGATTATTTATATTGTTTAACTCCTTAAGCTGGAAGAAATATTGGAGAAATGCAGAGAGAAAAAAGTTTAGAAGTCTTTTTTTGCATAATTTTGTATGGAATATAGTGCTTATTGATTTTTGAGGTACAGTCCCTAGAATCACTTACCAATAGAAATTTGTTCATAGATTGCCCAGAGTATACAATTGACAAGCGAAGGCCGAAATGAAGTTCTTTTATATTATCAGAGTCTTTGCTTTTAATGGTTTTGTTCACTAAAGTGGATAGTTTTAGTGAATACAAACTTATTGTTTTTAGTTACTATACATGGCAGCTCAGGAAAGCCTTGGAGCAGATACTTTCCAAATTCTAGACAGATTACATTCAGTTGAAAGAAGCTTTTGAAAGAAAGACTACATAGGAATTTAGGATTTAAAAACAGTTTTTTTTCATTAGTGCATGCTTGCAGTACATGATAATTACATCCATCATGAGTTGGTATACATACATATACATCTTAATATATTTTTATTTTCTCATTTCCTCTCTCCTTTCCTCTCCGTCAGTCCCCTTCCCACTTGCCAAAGATCTATCTCCCTGTATCCTATTATCTCTCTTTTATTTTGCTCTAAATTATTTATACTTTAGGTTTCTTATATAAGAGGGACCATGTGATATTTGAACTTGTATGTCTGATTTTACTTGAAATTTTGGGTTTAATCTCTTGATTGAGATATGTATTAAAGGCAAAAAATAAGAGGATAATTTACAACTTTGTATCTTAGGAAAAAGAATCCTTATCCAGCTTTCACTAGAAAATCCATTGTTAGGACTATTGCTATATTTTCTTATTTCAGTTCTCCAAATGTGAATGAATATTGTGAAGGAAAATAGATTCTCCTTTCCTCTTTCTCTTTTGTGCTAGAGATTGTACCCAGGACCTTGCATGTACTAGGTAATGCTTAACCACCAAAATGTATCCCCAGCTCTACACATTCTTAGTAAGTACTTAAAAAAACAATAATCTCTTGTATAGTTTTGTCTCTGGGTCAGAAATGTGATGATTCTGAAGCAGTAGGTAGTCTCATGTGGGATAAAATTAATAAGGGTTCCAGTGCGCCACTGATGTTCTACAGTGGTCATGCCAGGAGTGATGGCTAGCCTTGGAATTGGCTGCCAAGCCTGTTTCTCCGAGATAAAAGTTTTGAGTCTCTCTAAGGGCCTAAGTTTCTATGCTATAAGAGCCATATAGGGGGAAAAAAGTGGCAAGTGGAGATGGGGTAATTTCCATTTTGTTTTACTTTGTTTTGTGTGGCTTGGTTTTTTTCCTGTTTGTGTGTGTGCATGTTTTTTTTTGTTTTGTTTTGTTTTGTTTTAACTCTAATATTCAAGGTTGAAATATGGTTCCTTTCTTTATAGGAGATTAACCTTGTTAGTGTAGGGTAAGGTGTAGTTCTGATTTCCTTCCTCCACTCCCTTTAAAAACCAGATTTTAAGTCACTCTCATCGCATTAGAGGATGATTACTATAATAAGGAATGCTCTCATTTGACAGTGTGGATGGGGATGCAAATCACACAGCCAGAAAATCCAATGAACCAGTAAGTTAGGTGGAGGTGACTTGACTGAGTGACTCATTGGGTTTTGTTAGCCTCGCATATCAGAGGGCCCAGAGGTTTACTAAGTGACTTTATTTCTATTCCTTTTATAATAAATAGACAGTAATTAAGCTGACCTTGGTCTCTGTCTTACTTCAGAAACTCGGGAACTTTTGGAGAAATAAATCTGGCAAATTGTCTTGTGGGAAATAAGATGTTACTCTATAGGTGGGTGGGTATAACATGAAAATGAGATTGCGTAGTGTTGAAACTGGCAAATTTGTGGCAGATAGGTTCAGAAAGTAAGCTAAGGGAATTAATCGCTGTGTGACAGGTAAGAACATTAGCTTCTGTTGAAGATTCCTCTGGGAAAAAGCTTAAGGGGTTCAGCCCTGCCTTCCTGTGATGTTCCTACAATCACCATAGCAGTTTCCAGAGGGACACAGACCACCTCAGCCTCCTCCCAGCAAGGCATCTGGGCTGATGATTTGATAACACCCTAGGGAATCGGGTGGCTTCAGGTTTGGACCCTTCGTCTCCAGTTAGTGAAAACTGTTAGGCTAGAAGTATCTTTTAATGTGACAGTGACAGTGGTAAATAATTTGTGAAACTATAATAAAGCCATGTATAAAATAAACATTTTGATCATTTTCTAAGTGCTTCTGATACCATAAATCAGAGTTCTGTCTGTGTAAGTATGTGTGACAACTTTGTCTCCAACTTATGTAGTCACAGCAAAACCCCCAAGGGAGTGTTAAAGAAGGACTTTTTTTTTAGCAGTGTAAGCCTTGTTCCAGTGTTGAAGTCTGTAGATTGTGCTTTTGATCTTCTTTTGCTGTGAAGAGTGCCTGGCCCCCTTGAGTCTCACTGTACAGTCCTTACGTATACATGTATGAGAGAGAGGGTGAGTCCTATGGCAAATGCTGCCCTCTTGGGGGTGTCTGTGTTAACATAATCTCACCCCCATAATTTATTTGTATAAGGATAAAAATTGAATTGCTAGCATCTTAAAGTCTTATTCTGGCGTCATAAAAATTTTCATGTATAATTCTGTAGCTAGTAGGATAAAAGGCAAGTTTTATTAGAACTTGGGTATGTTTGAGGTAATAAATCACTTTAGCATGTTTCTTAGCTTTCTATTTAAAGGTGACTAAATTATTTCTCTAACAGGGTTTTTGTTGTTTGTTTTCATAGACTTTAGTGAAGCAAAGTTTTATAAGGAAAAGCATACCTAAAATGGGCGCAAGTCATTTTACCCAGATAATCTGGCAAAGTGTCAGAGTTTTTTCACCTGTAAAATTAAAGAGGTGGGCTGGGTCATCTCTAAGATCAGATCCAGTGGTAAAGTTTTCATTTTTTTCCATTTAGTAGTAGGTAGAAACTCAGAAATTAATCCATATCATGTCACAAAATTGTCTGTTGCAAGAATTCATTAACACTAAAAGCTCTAAGGCTTTTTTCAGTTGCGGAGCCAAGAAAGCAATCACATAGGTGGGATAGTATTTTATGATGGTGGTTTTAAAGCATGGTAGATAAGTCTGCATGAAGTCCTCAGTGGATTCACCATAGAGACGTGCAACAGGCAGTTACAACAGAATTTCACACTTCCCCTACCTTCTGTAACTTTTAAAAGTTTAAAGTTTAATCACCAGTACAGCATTTTGAGCATCATCACTTACCCTTTATTTATTTTACTTTCTAAAATTGTAAATACACACATAGGAAAGTGTTTATAATGTTTATGTGTATTTTAATCAGGAATAGTGATGAAAAACAGCATTGTATCTGCTATCAAGCTTAGGAAGATGGATGTTTTTCTAGAATCTTTGAAGCTTCTTTCCCCTTTCTGAATACTTCTGCCCTAGGCCCCCACCCAGCAGCACTATTACAATTTTAAGGTTAATTATTTCTTTGCTTTTCAAAGTAGTCTTACCATATATATGTACCCTCAGATGAATCATTCTTTAGTTTTGCCTATTTTTGAGCTTTCCATTCATAGAAATAGAATCCTCTCATTTGTACTTTTTTTTTCTTCTTTTGGCTTTAGAAAAAAGCTCAGCCATGTTTCTGAGATTCGTATCTGTTAATGTGTAGCTTAGTTCATTCATTTTCACTGCTGGCTTGTTTTAATGTATCATTTTATTTACTCTGTTGGCAGTGGACTTTTGTGATGCTAACCTGTATATTTTTTGTTGCTGTTGTTAACTGTTTAATGATATGGAAAATCCAGATCCAGATCAAGAAAACTACTAACTAGTAACTTCTAAAATGTTCTGTCCATTCTTTGTTAAGGACATTATGCTCTTTTTGGGAAAAAAAAGTGTTTCAGGAGAAAAAAATAGATAAATTTAATGTTAGGATTCCATTTGGCACCAGATAATGAGAATTTCACATCATAATTATCTAGAAAACTGTAATTCATTTATCAGAGGGAATTGAGAGCAAGTCCCATGAATGAAGGAATCAAAGATTTCATTGTGAAAATTAGAAGCAGATGCCTCTAAGTCGCAGGATTTTCCCTGAGAACAGCACTTTTTTTTTTGGCAGTGTCATGTTAGAAATTCATCGCGGTTGAAAGGAATTTTTGTGCCTGGTTGCTAAACTTGATATGAGTTTTGAATACAGATGGTTGAAAGTTTCTTTGGTTTAAAATTCATGACATCATTGTATCATTGCCTTTGCTCGTCTTGTTAATTGTGGCAGCTTCTCTCACCCCCCAACTTCCCAGAGGTACACAGGTTTTGATTTTGATGTCCATGAACTCTGGAGGAAGTTGATCCCTCGAGATGTAGAGATAGGCTTGCTCCTGCCTAGTGATGGGGACCTTGTGACCCAAGATATTCATTCGGAGCAAGTATGCTTGTTTACTTCCACATTCTGGTTGATTGGCCATTCTGAGATGCCTGCCTTAAGATGGAGCTGATTTCAAGGTGCCACTCATGAGCCCATCCTTCCTGCTTATCGGCTGTAAGTAGCTTTAGCTTCTTGAACTACTAATAACTAATGTTTATATGGTACTTTAGGTATGCCTTACATTACCTCATCAATTATGTACTATTATTATTTTCATTTTACAGAAATCGAAGATGAGATAGAGAGGCAGAGGGACTTGTCCAAGGTCATACACCTAATTGTTCAAGGTCATACTAAGAGACAGGCCCAGGAAATTTACTCCAGAGTTTAATACTTTCAGTAATTCTGACTTAATTTATTCCAACCAAGATGCCTTCCTGCCTCCTTACTTTCACATAATTTCACTTAACCAGACACATGTGGAGACCTTTTTAGAATATATTTTTCTGGAAGTGTTGGAGAATACTGTAGTATTCTTGCATTGTCTACTCACTAAATTTAGATACAGGAAAGAATGTGCACCTTTCCCCCATAATTCACTTACCGAAAATATTCAAGAAGCTGTTACCAACACTAACTCTCATTGAGAGAAAAGAATGTAGCTGTAAATGCTTAGGAATTTTCACATTTCTGATGAAAAAAATCTAAATAATGTATTCAGTAATACCTGCTGGATGCCTATTTCAGAGTCAGTACTACCCCAGGTGTTAGTGACTAAGAATGCTTAGAACGTGTCCCCAAGGGCATTCGGGTCCCCTACAGGGAGCAGGAGAAGCACAGGTATGGAGGCATGGTTCCCAGGCCAGTGTCTGGTATTTTCCAAGGAGCAAGAGTGTTTTTTTCTCTTAGAAGTAGATGGGTACGACTGGGGATTTAGCTCAGTGGTTCCGCTGCCTGCCTCGCAACCCCAAGGTCTGGAGTTTGATCACTGGTACCAAAAAAAAAAAGTGGAATTAGTATGTGGGACAGTATGCAAGAGAGGATATTCTAGGGAAAGAGAACAGCAAGGTCAAAGCATGAGAAATATGAGAGCAAGACTTGTTGAGGAAACCACAAGGAAATGAATTACAGTCATTCAAAACGTGAGTTGGAAAATGATCACATTGAGGATGAATGGGACTGCTGGTAAAAGATTTTAGTGCCTTCACGTTCAGATGTTATCCTCAGTAGTGCTGAACAATTAAAGGATGTGAGCCAAGGTATTGTATCATGATCAGATACGCAATTTAATAAGATTGTCCTAGCAGCATTGATTTAATTGAAGAGGTGAGAAAGACAGAATATTTTAAAAATTCAGGTGAAGCTTGGCATGGTGGTACACACCTGTAATCCCAGGACTTGGAGACTGATGCAAGAGGAGCTCAAGTTCAACCCCAGCCTGTGTACATTACTTAGACCTTGTCTCAAAAGAAAAAATGAAAAAGGGCTAGGGATGTAGCACAATGTGAAAACCCTGGATTCAGTCCCCAGTACCACCAAAAAATTAACAAACAAACAAAAAACCAGATGAGAATACAACAAAGAAGCAGAATGGAAAGGAAAGCCATTAAAAAGACTAGGATTTTTTTCTTACTGAGATTATTTCTTTAAATGTATATATAGCATTTAAATCTTTCAATCATTGAGACTCACTCTTTATTATCCTTCCTGTCTCCCACATTCCATGGTCTTTGTGTTTGGAAAGATTGCCTGTCAAAAGAAATTAAGACATTTGTTTTCATTTTTTCATTCTGGCCTGGAAAACTCAGTGCATTAGCAAACATTTTAAAATGATAGGAATGTTATTTAAGTGAGTGATCTTTTAATTGCCCTTGAGAGATTACCATAAATAATTATGCCAAGATTATCAGGCTTTTTGGAATATTGAAATATCCTCATGACTTCTTTTATGGATTCCAGGCTGGAAACCATTAGAATAATTGATTAACAGAATTCTGTTTACTACTATTCAGTTTAGAGAGAGTATACCAGAATGGTGCTTTGAAGAATGTTGTTAATCTTTGGTGTAAGAAAAGTGATTTCATTTCCCTGCGTACCACTATTATCATTACCCTTTTCTTTGCCTCTGTAATCAAGTAAATGAAATAAGTATGGTTGTAGTGGCAAATAAGGCCAATGAAAGGGAAAACTTGACAGTATGAGTCAAAATAGCACAGGGTACAAAATAATTGCCAATGCTCAAGAAGGTGATTCATTTTAATATAGAAGAGAACTTTGAAGTATACAGTACAGTGTGCGATCCTAAGGAGTGTCATCAGAAGCCTCTCCAGGTCCTGAAGAAAGTGCCTTAAACTGCAGAACACTCTAAAATCTGATTTCTCAGCCACCCAGTCTTTGGATTTGCACAGGAAAGCAAGACAGTGAGGCTTTGCAGGGCTCTGGCCATCCTCCTACCCTACGCGAGAGTCTTTGTTATTGCGCACTCTTGCAAGTCTCTTCTCCCCACAACTTAAACCTGTTTTCTCCCTTCATGAAATCTTTTCCTGGATCCTGCACTCATCCATTCCCGGCCTTTCTCAAATCCCATAGTCTTCATTTTACCACATTATTTAGCATCTAACTTAAAATGTAATTGTTTCACTTCCTGTTGTTGGTACTGTTTTGACTCTTCAAAGAAATTATGAATTCTATGAGGATCAGAATCTGGAAATGTGGAAGTGGCATGAGAGGCAAATAAATAACCAGGTTGAGTATCCTAAATCTCACAACCTGAAATCTGTTACTTACTTTGAGTGCCAACATGATGTTCTCAAAGCTTTGGATTTTGGAGCATTTGAATTTGGGGTTTTCACATTAGGGATGTTCAACTAGCAGTCTACAGAGATATTTCAGAATCTGAAAAAATTCATATCTGAAATATTTCTGATAAGGGTTACTCAACTTGTCATATTTTAGCAAGTTCCAGAGTACCCAAAAAACTAGTGGCTATACTTATTCATTGACTAATTGAATATTAATCTTTGTTGTCATTAATTAATTTAGGGATAAGAAAAGCTTTATTCCTGCTAGTCTAACAAGCATGTAGTTAAAATAATTTTTGGGTATTATGGGTATTTGTGATTTGAAGGGAATGTACTCAGTAAGTGTTTTTTAGTATTTACTTATTTTATATACTATAATTTGCCAATACATCCTGTTGTGAGCATATTTAGAAGTTTTTTCCAGTTTTTATTTTGATGGATAACATTTTAGGAGTATTTTTATTCAGAATCATAGTGTGCTCGGGTTGAATTATTTCCTTGTATAGTCATTAGAAGTGGGATTATTGAGTCAGAACGTCCAAAAATCTTTGACTCTTAACTACAAAGCCGTATTGGTTGTAGTGATTTACAGTGCTAACCACAATTTATGAGATTGTATCAGTTTCACTAATTTTTCTATTTATTGCAATATAAAGCTTTGTCTTCATCTTTTTTTTTAATGGCCAAGGACTTGCCACATAATTTTATTCATGAGAGTGCAGTGAACATTACTTGGCACTATTTCAAATCTATGTTAATTGGAAGGTTCTTTTCCATTCCTAACCCCAACCCCAAAGCATAGCAAATCTTACTGTTTACATATAAAAGTGAAATAATTTATTACTTGCAACAGAAAAAAATATTTCAGATCACAAGATATGATCAGTGACAAGATAGATGATGTGCACTGTACTTCTTCCCCTTGCTTTTAAAAATGAGCAGCCAGTTGTGTCTCTTGGTGGTAAATACTACCTTTTATGTATCTGGCTCTGTTCTAAGAGCTTCACATAAGAGTAACTCATTTAATAAGCTTCTCAATCTCCTAGAAAGATGAGATAAATGGACACGAAGAAGTAAAGAGAGTTCCCTAGGACACCCAGGTGGTAAGTGTCAGAGTTGGGGTTCAAGCCCAAGTAGTGTGGCTGCAGAGTCCAGTCTCTTCATAGCACATTACACTGCTTATTGCTGCATTCCCTCTTCCAAACCTAACTAGCCTGCATGGAGTGTTACAGTGTGATAATGTTTCAATTGGATTACCATCTCTAGTAGGTTGCCTTTGATGATTAGCATAAAGGTTTCCCCCTTACCAACTTTATTGGATGGGTACAGAATTAATGCTATTGTTACCAGAATTGCTGTGATTATACTGCTGGCTGCTCATTTCCATATTATGTGTCAACTATGCTTTCCAGTTGTTTTGTTTGAAGAAAAAGCCTTTTTGCAGAGCTACTGTAATTTATTACAAATGGAAAATACAATAAAAGCATATTTAATATGATTCTGTAAAAAACTGATCTTTATTAAGGCAGTATTATTCACCCACACATTAATATTCAGGATGAGATATTTTGTTGCTAAAAGTTAGCATTATGAACTAATTGTCCATATGCTTTGTTTACCTTAAATGAATTTATACATTATTATACTTGTTTGTGATTCTCTTAAAAACAGTGATGTCTGCACAGCAACCCAACCATCCAAAATTTTTGTTCCTTACACTTTTTTTCTGCCTCAAAATCTTCTGTGCTTATGGTGAATATTCATTGTGATAAGACACTAAATAAAACTTAGAGCAATTTTTAAAGTAAATATAGGTGTTGCTGTACAGCCAGGGGTAGTAAACACTTGATGAAATAAAGAATGTATCAACCAAGCAATCAATTTCTTGTTGGATGGACTGTATGAAAGAGGGCTTATTCAGATGCAAGTGCCAGAGTTAGCTTCAGAGAAAGGATAGTTTATTGTCTTGCCATATGGTGATTCCTGTAGATGATTTTGGGTGTCAGGAATAGCTAGATGATGTTCAGATGATGTAATCAGCATTCTTTCTTAGCTTTCCTTTCTTCTATGATAGCACTCTTCCCAGGAAAATTCTTATAATGTGATTTTGAGGATGGTTGCCTGTAGCTTTAGGCTTATCAGTCTTACAAAGAGCAACCCAAAGAGAGAGCTAGCCCTTGCAATCCCAGCATTTGTGCAGCCCACTTCATGAAGGATTTATGGCTTTGCCTAGATTATATATAGACTCAGTAGATCCAGCATTTTAATTGGAGAATGGAGTACTCTGGCCAGCTCTGAGTCACATCCCTACCCAATATTACCTGTTTGCCTTTGAAGGTAGAGAACATACTGGGATGGTAGTCCCAGGGGAAA